GGAAGGAGTACTATATATCATCACGTAATCTACTCCTCTCATCCAATTTTAAGAAAATAATATTTGTATTATATTATTTATTCTAGTCTATATCATCACGTATCAAGATCTTCTCCTACCAAATACTTGTAATGTCTATATCATCACGTATCTGCTGCTCAAAAATAGAAAAAAATATTTGTAATTACTCTCTATCACGTATCATCCACTCTCGTTTTTTTTTAATAATATCTTCACGTATATTTTGTATCACACTATATCTGCTGCTACACCTTCTGCTTCTTCAATTTTTTTAATTTTTAGTCTCGAGAAGATCGGCCATGGGAGAGAGAGATAAGGAAGCAGAAAGTGTAGAGAATGCGAGGATTCCTCTGCTAAGGGATGATCAAAATGCTTCGGAGGAAGAAGAAGAAGTCGGAGAAATATGGGTAGAGACGAAGAAGCTATGGCGTATCGTCGGACCAGCCATATTCACCAGAGTCACGACCTACTCGATATTCGTCATCACTCAGGCCTTTGCAGGCCACCTCGGCGAGCTAGAACTCGCCGCAATATCTATCGTCATTAACCTTATCATCGGCTTCAACTTTGGCCTCTTCGTATACACACATACACATAGATAGAAACATTTCTATTTATTATAATGTTTACTTACTTTGTGAAGAAAACATTGTGCGGTCAAGCGTTTGGAGCGAAGAAGTATGACATGTTGGGAGTTTATCTGCAAAGATCTTGGGTTGTTCTCTTCTTATGCTCCATCTTGCTCCTCCCTATGTACTTTTTTGTGACTCCGATTCTTAAGTTACTCGGCCAGCCTGATGACATCGCCGAGCTCTCGGGTACCATCGCGGTTTGGGTTATTCCTATCCACTTTGTCTTCTCCTTTATTTTTCCTATCAGCCGATTCCTCCAATGCCAGATGAAGAATAAGGTATGTAACCAAGTTCGTAACGGATACGGGTCTAAATATGTCAATTTGTAGTAGAAAGTTTGTTTTCTACTTAAAATTTGTGAATTCGGATTAAAACTTGTGAATGGGGAACACACACATGCATCGTATGCTCCGTCCGCTCTCACTAATTTAAAAGTCAAACAAGTTGTTAAGAATATTTTAAAGCTTAATTATTTTGCGGAACATGAAGGAATTAGATGGTATACAATTAGAGTAACAAGAGGAACAAAAAAGAATTAAATAGTGAAAAAAGCATAAATGATAATTAGTGGTAAAATTTTTTTGAGAAATTTCGAAAAATGCCACTTTTCAAGTGTCATTTTACAAAAATGCCACACTTTTGAAATCTTTACAAAAATGCCACTTTTTCAAAATTATTTTTTCTTTATATTATTTATGTTTGGGTTAATTATATTCTATTAGGATTTAATTTTGAGTGTTTAGAGAGTTTTAGGTGTCAAAACATTTTTTAGGGTTTAGAATTTTAAGATATAGGCTTTATAAATCTATAATTAATGGCATTTTTGTAAATAAACATCCCTACGTGGCATTCTTGCAAATGTGCACACAAAAAGTGGCATTTTTGTAATTGCCCCAATTTTTTACTCAGCAGATCTACATCTATAAACTAATTTTGGTTTTTCTTCAACTGTAAACTACAACTATAAACTATAGTTGAAGCTTGTTCCTGTGCTCTGATTTCTTAATTTTTCATGGAATAAGGAGGCAATATTTTGTTTTGAATGGTAAAAAAAACTAAGAAATTAGGCGATAAACATACATATTTTCACCTAGCTTAGTGTGCGGCTAGCAGCACCACCAATGAGTGAT